GAAACTGCTCTCTCGTAAACAGGTCCAAATTTCACACTAAACTTTAGAATTAAAGTAGTATAACTCAAATTTTAATAATTAAAATGGTAACCAATTTTTAATAATATTTTTATGTGTGCATATTTAATACAAATAGTCATTGAATAAAACAGCTTGAATGAAATAAACTCAATAAAAACCAATGATGTTAAAAAAAATGTTTTTTTTTTTTTTTTTTTTTTTTTTTTTTTTTTTTTTTTTTCCCCACTATGCCAATTACTACATATATTCGTCTTAGACAAGCCAGCAATGGTCAAGAAGACATTGTTAAGTATATGATATCTATGATAATATTTTATAAAAAGTTAATAATATTCTAATGCATACAATAACATTAAAATTCTCAAAACAAAACCTTGAGCTATAGAAACTGCAAATTACTGTGAACGAATTTTAACACATTTTTCTGTCTGTATACTTTGTAACGGAGTCTTTAATTACTGAAGTATGAAAGCAGCACGGAAATGAAAAAATATAAAAGGAATTTTCATCCGCGCTTATTTACAGCACTTAAAGCGCTTAGAAACAAATAAACCTCTGCCAAAAATAAGACATATTGATGCGAATATTAAGTGAAATGGAGTCGAAATACAAAGATTCAAAGAATATTTCAAATCTTTCTTTGAATCTTTCATGAAAAAGACTGAAATAAAAACTAACAAAAAAGAGAAAAAAAAGTAATCCAAGCAGTAGAAGTTAAGCACAAAACAGGATTAAACACGGAGGTAAATGAATCCTTGGTAAGAAAAAAGGCAATACGATAATCACCAGAAAAAAATAGCTGTAATATAAATATAATGAATGTAATAAATAATTATCATAAATGTATATGAAAATTCGAACAAACAAATAATATATCATTTCTAGATTCTAAACACTAGAACTATATTACTTAATCAAAGCTTGCTTTCCGATTTAAAAATTACAGCTTTTAAAATCTATGGCAATTTAAAATATTGCTAAGATTTCATCCAAAAATAGTCCTACCAACGGTTAATCAAACAGGAAAATTTTCATAACTAGGCACAGTTTATGCTTTTTGAGTTACTAATGACGCGTTGTTAATGTTGACATGTTTATAAAATAGTTTCATAAGTCTAAATGTTTCATGGCCTTTCTTGGTATTTGAACCGGAAGTCAGTAAAAGCTCTTAACTACAGCTTTAATGGGCTTAACTACACCCTAAAGGCTGATAATATCTAAACTAGACTTAAATTTAATGTTAGTTCAGGCCTAAAATTCAGTAAACACTAGAAATAAAAGGACCGATGACTCAGAAGCGCAGCAAGTTAAAATTCTTAACAAATGCCTTAAAACATACTGACATTTGTAGGATGGATGTCGCCACCTTACCTGGGTGATTTACAGCTGGACTACTTTCATTTTATTATAGGTGACCTTTGCAAGGTCAATTAGCTCGTAAAAAAGTATTATATGCACTTTTTCTTCGAAAACAACCCTTCCATATTGATTTTGCTGGTATTCTGGTAATCATAGAGGAGAAAATTTAAGCTTTTGTGCTCATAAATAATCTTTTCGTGGGCAAAATGTGAAAGTGGCAGGTAACAGAAAAATAACAGTAAATCATCTGACTTCTACAACGTTTCCTCGGCTTTAAATGAAAAACAGTGCGCCACTTAAGGAATTGCTTTATCATTCTAACAAATTGGTCGACTGCACTCATGGCTGAATAAACAGATTGCTTGCGCGTGGGAAAACGGTCTCCTCGGTTTGCTGAGTTCTTTGATAGTTCGCGACCACTTTAGATACACAACGGCACAAGTGATGCATCATATTTACTTATTGTTCACAGCAGAAGCAGATGTTTTTTATTATCTTGTATCATTCAGAAGATGAGTACTTCGATGGGTTTAGTACTATTTTCCTTTCAACTGAAAGTCATCATAGTCACTCATTTTTATTGTATCGAACGGAAAGCTGTCAAATATCATGAAAAAAATATTTTGTTGTTTCAATTTGTGTATATCATATTTATAAATTAATGGTATAATAGCATTTAAATTTCTCATTAGTAGAACTTTGAATTACAGATATTAATAAGGTATTTCGATACTGTTCTGTTATCGGGACCGGATTCAGAAATATGCATGTATGGATGAATGTATGTATTCATGTACACATGGTATATATGTACGTGTATGTGTGTACATACATATACACATATACGTACATCCATACATACATACATACATTTTTGAATCCGGTCCCGATAATAGAAGATTACCGATATCTCTTGTTCACCGATTAATTCCATAGAGTAAACTCATGAATAATAACATGTGAACTTACAATGACCAATGAAAGAGCGCATGCAAATTATACAAGAAAGATCTCCATCCCCAAAGTGTAAAATTACTTTCCATTGGTTTTCTTTATTCCCCGTTTGTGGCAGTGGGCATTGAGCTGTATTTAATTTTTTCTCATAACACAGTTATCCAATTGACAAATAATTGGAACATGCTTCCAAAGCGTTTCTGACCACTATTTACAGTTTTGTTGAAAGAGAAATGCATAACTATTGAAATTTTAGTATAAATTAAATTTCCTTGGAAGTATTTAAGTATTTCATAATAAATACATGTCAACAATATCTGCAGTATCAATAGAAATTAAATAGTCACCTTTAAGTAAACGATTGAAAAGAATTTCTTAGAAATAACATAAATTTTTGCCTTTATAGTTTCTTTCAAACTTATTTAACGAGGAAATGGAAAGAAAACAACAAGAAAAAACTACTATAGTTATAATGAATTTTAATAAATTTAATGAAATTTATTATCTCTGTAGTTCATTCACTTGAACCAGTATAAGCATTCCTGAATAACCACTAAGGCAAACAGCCCAGAAGAAATGGATGGAAAACAGGAATATCAGAAAAAGTACTTCGTTCTTTTTTCATATATTTTTTCCAATTTATAAATTTTCATACATTAGTATATTTCCTTTACGATTATAACAAACTTCACTATTCGGTTATGGAGGAAAACAGATTTATGACAAACCGTTTTTGATTAGTTTGAAAGCTTTTAATTTCTCATCAAATGAGGTTGACAAAATTTTGATGATTTTGAGAAATTTGTTGCTGCTAAACTTTGATAGTAATATCGCGTCAAGAATTTACAAATACGAACATTCATTGCTAACGACTTATTTACAAACTTTTTAAACAATTATTTTACGTAACTTATTTGATTTTACCGGCGCTAGACATCCTTTCCACACATTCATCGTGTAGCAGTTAAACAAGTAAAGATAACATTTGTTCAATATTTTTAAAAAAGATTCATTTTTATAATAAAAGAATCAGATTTTAGAAATAGGAGCTACAATTATTCGTTTTGATAATGCTGTTCAAATTTTGTGCCTGTTTGCCATTTTTTTATACTTAGTAAAATGAAGTTGGGTTTTCTTTTGGAAGTTGCTTATTTATCTAAAACTAGCATATATGACACTCTCTCTCTCTATATATATATATGTGTGTGTACATATGAATACAAACAGAGAGGGAGCAACATACATTTACAAATATACACTCACTTGTCGCATTCATGTATATTAGTGCTTATATACATGAACAAAGATATGTGCATATGTACAGGGAGACAGAGTTACATAGATACACGCATATGTATGTATATATATATATAATTTGGGTATGTATGTATATATCTACAAGCATATATGAAAAAACGCATACATGTGCAAAAAAATTACTTATTACATGCTACGTTTAAGATTTCTATTTCTATTCTTATTTTTTATCAAAGATCGTGAAAACAATCTCATTAATTTATTAATTTCTTAAAAGAATTCAAGAAAAGAAAAAAAAAATATTTTACCAGCACTTTGTATTCATTTATGGAATAAAATGTCAAATTCAAAAGCCTCGTCCTCGTAAAAACGCAATAAGAAGGAATTACTTTAATATTTTCTAGTGTTACACTACAAACAAAACGTATAAAGATAATACGTCTGACAGCCTTTTAAAATTAGTGAAATAAGTGAATGAATAAGTATAATAATAAAAATATGTATCAGCTAGTCCAATAATTAATTTTAAACCTTTTGTTTATTTTATCTTCAGTAGTACCAAACCCTCAAAAATTCTTTTCACCTTGCTTGGGAGATTAAGAAACGAATTTCAAATTACAAAAAAAAAAAAAAAAAAAAAAAAAAAAAAAAAAAACAATAGTATATTATATAAGATTCAAATTTTCCGCGGAATATTACTATTATATCTAATGAATTAATAGTTCACATCAATTATTTAACTTAACAAGCCTAAATTTTGGTGAACATCTGTATATTTTAAAAATAATGCTGAACTTAATGAAGGGTTGGCTTACAATATCTTCGGATAAGACCATAAAACTAGAAATGGGAAAATCCTTTCGAATGAAAGTTACTCCAGCAAGCAACCTGTTGCTTCATTTAACTCATGAGGTAGATCTGAGACTCATTCACGTTTTCCTTAAAATGATTCTTAAAGTTATTCTTTGATTTTAAAATTAATGCTTAATGAAAGATTAGGTTAAAATATACCAGCAGAAACCATTAAACTAGAAATGCTAAAAATACTTTAGAGTGACAGTTCCTCTATTGAGAGACCTGTTGCTTCATTTTAACTTTTCTGTCATAAGGTAGCTCTTCAGCTCTTTGACTAAATATTTTTGCATTCCATTTCATAACCAGCGAATTACAGGGATACGATAAGAGTCGATGGTTACAGAACATTTAAAAAATTTCAGAGGTGTATTCGGAGATTTTTCGTATCATTATTTTGATAGCTGCGGCTCCTAATGCCATGCTCTTAATAAACAGTGGCATGATTTTTTTTCCTTCTTTCATACCTGAGTGGCAATTGAGATAATTATAAAAAATTGTAAAAATTATAAACTAAACTAAATACATAAATGAGGATGATATGAATGCAATCTCACCTCGCTTACAGAAGCGAAGACATTCCAAAAGGCACTCTGTAAATCCTGCCGCCGCACCGGCCGATGCGTAAAAGCTACCCAAACGGTCCAGGTAAGAAAACCAGTCTGGTAAGCCTAACGTCGGTCTCACAGCAGCTACTAGTTGGTCTGCCTTTAGGCTGTTATGGCCTACGTACTATCAACGTTAGGAATGCAGCGTTCTTTAGATCGCTGACAGAAAGGGGTCTAAGACACTGCATTAAGTCGTTCAGATCCAAACACTGGAGTGTAAAATCACAGACCCTCTTAATTGCGAATGACTTCGAACACAGATATCCGGTTGCGATCCCGTGCGTCGGCCGTGACTCTGTTTCTCTCTTTACTCCTTACTTCTGCTTTCTTCGCCGAAGTTGGGGCATGCATCTCCAGTTCGGGGCAAGTTTCGGGGGAGCGCCGTCTGGGCGAAAAAGCCTGTGCCATTTCCCATTGGTCAGAAGTTCTCTCGCGGTGAAAAGAGCGTTCCAGCCTTTGAACTTCTCACTGACTGTTGAATGCAAGCGGACGAAGCGGAGTCGTTTTTTATTGATAAGAGGTGGCTCTCGAGAAAACGGCACAGATGGAAACTGTTTAGGTTCTTATCAGCTTTTTATTCGCTCCGCGCATAATTTGCGGCACGATCATGTAATCTAAAACTAAGTTTGTTTGATAACTTACGAAAGGGCAACAACTGCTAAAATGGAATGATATTTCAAAATTATGTATGCATTAAATATGTTCAATACTTGCGAAAAAATGTTAATCGATGCATACATTCCCAAACTATTTAAAAAATGAAAAATAGTACTTTCATTTTATTTCCTTAAACAGCGTTCGATTTCTAAAATCAGAAGTGCCATTAACTCGCCGGGAGCCAGTCGATAACGGCGAATAAGAGAAAATGGGTATAATGTAATCCATAGTAATAATAAGGAGGAGGATGATGATGAACAATTAAAACTAAATCAGAACTGAAAAAATAAATGATTGACAAGTAAATGGTAATGAAGACAACGGATGATCAGAGCCTGACTAAGGAAGGGGCATACGGGGCAGTTAGCCCGGGCCCCCGCATCAGAGGGGGGACCCCAAATCGAATAGAAAGTTTATTTTATGCTTCCTTCTTTAATGAACTTTTTTTTAAACAAAATATCAGTACAGTGTAAAATCCGTCAGTTTTATGTTACATTCTTCATTAATCTATCGTATGAACACAAACAATCTATATTTCATAAATCCATTAGGGCGGAATTCAGCTAAGTTTTCGCAATTACGATGGACAAATTTAGCCAATCAAAAGCCTGTATTTTTACATATCGCAAAATGCGATATATTTACAAACATGCGGGCTTCTGATTGGCTTAATTGAGCCGTCGTAATTGCGAAAATTTAGCTGAATTCCGCCCTAATGTTAGCAAGGATATGAATTTTTCGCGGCTAGATGACAAAGTTAACGATCAGTAAACTGCATTTCGGGAACTTGTGAAAAGTTCATTAACTGTAGCGATATGATTGCTATCTTAATCGCAACTGCGAAAAATTCAGTTGCATCGTATTCAATTCTGTTGGATTTTCGCAACACTGAGAAATTATAAGTTGTATTTTAACAAAATTCTAACAAAATGCCAAATAATCTGTTGATTAATTAATTTCATTTGCAAGATTGTAAAAAACCTACCTGGATCCCTTCCCAAATGTCGAATGATAACGCATAGTGATGACTGCAACCGGTATCTTAACTGTTTGGTGTTCGTTTGATATTTCTCTTACTCGTGGTATGGCATGTTGTACGCATAGTAGTTCTATTATTATTGGATGATTTATTGGGATTAATTTATTTTGAGTGGTTTTTTTATTTATAATGTATTCCTATCTATACTGTATACCTCCATAAAGTTCGGTTCTTCGTTACTGAAGTACTAAAGCAGGGGGGGGGCAAAGAAGTTTTCGTCCCAGGCCCCAATTAGGCTAAGTCAGGCCCTGCGGATGATGAAGAAATTCAACATAAATAATAAGTATATAATTAAAAATTAAAGGAAATGAAAACAAGCAAAGTCTAAGAAAATAAGACTATTCAAATTATTTAAAACAAAATAAATATTTTTGAATTCTGAACTGCGAAGTGTAATTTTTCCACTTCAATATTTCTTGAAAGATATTTGCCTTTAGATCCACAAATGAAAAAAAGAAAAATCTGTAAGAATTTATTGCAAAAACACAAAATCAAACGCACAGTTTTTTTAATATAAATGTAAAAATGTTGATGAGTATTAGCTTTCATATTAGTTATACCATGAACTTGAAAATTTGATCTAGAAAACTTTTCTAAATTTGATTCTTCATGGAAATGATAAATAAAACTGATGTGATTACAACTAAATATTGAAATTCGACTGCAAAATAAACAAGCAACGAACTAAGAATTTACTGTTGCGTAGCCGCCCAGATGGTATAGTAGTTAGAGGAGCCTAACTCTACCGAAGGGTCTGGGTTCGAATCCCCGAGGAGGCATGAATGTTTGTAAATGTGTAGTGTTTTGCGACGTAGGAGACCTCTAGATACACAACGAGCCAAAAGTCCTCTCGTGTGGGTTTGGTGCAAGGGAAGAGGGTGGGAGACCCTCGGATCCCCCCCCCGGGTTGCTGTACCTCAAGATCGGAGTGGAAGTAGAAATCCAAGCTCCTTGAAGCCCTGGCAACTATTTCTCCATGAATTACATGGACAATACAACAATTATTGCATAATTTTCTATAATAAATACAAGTAAAGAAAGCGATTTATAATGAAATGGTTTTCACAAAATAAAAAATTTTCGAATTACGTAATGAGTCTATTAACCGTACCTCAATAAAGACTCTAGTGTCAAATAAATAATTCCAGAACTGTTTTGGAAAAAAATTAGCATTCCAATGAACTTCGCCGAGCTGATTTCCATAATCATGATTTTTCTCTTCAAATAAGTTTCTAATTGTCTAATAATGAAAAAAAAAAAAAAAATGTATTTATAATTTCCAAAAATTTATATTGTACCTGTAATATTCGTGCAAACGCAAACGCGTTATTAATTTCTAGTTCATAAAACTCGATTTTTTAGAATATATTATATTGAAGAACTTCATCTTGTAATCTATCCTTCCGTTTAAGAGATTTCTGATAAACTTCGAATGCTAAGATTTAAGAATATCAAAGAAGCGAAAGACATATACTTCCCTTGAATTTTTTTTTAATATGGCCAGCACTAGGCATTTTTAGGCTTTCGCCACAGGCTTCCTTTGCATTTAAAATTTGGTATTTTAATTCTTGTTAATAATAAAATATGTTATTCCAATAATAAGAAAATTGTGAAAATAATATTGAATGTAATTTTTTATGATAACTTTGCTTAATTTTATTCTGTTGAACCCTATTATTATATTATTAAAACGGAGTTTTACAAAACATCACATCTTATTGAGCCTATCTAGCGTTATTTGTTTTAATTACTTTATTATTTTGGTTTCTCTATTTGACGTAACAGAACGCAGATTTACAGCAAAAGATATGCCATTAGAAGACGTATTCATTCCTCATGCCTTACTAGCTTGCTTCATATAGTATTTTAGATTCCCATTCCCCCCCCTCCATTTCCTCCCCATCAAGATCGTTTTTCATTAGCAATACGAAAATGCTTTGAAAACCAGCACTGGATTCCTATGCCCATTGAAGATGCTATGAATTCGACAATTTAGCGGCAATAATAAGCATACCTGATATAAGTTATGACAGAAGATAAAAACTAGCAAAAATAATTCGCAGATCGGGTCCTGATAGTCTGTTTAAAACTGCTCCTGTTTTTGACGTCTAATGGGCATTTTAATAAAGCGGAAAGCCAAAACTCGTATAAATATTCTTGCGGAAAAGCTTTCCCAAATGTGGAATGAATTACGATTTTTAGTTCTAGAAATGTTCAACTCTTCCTCCACCTTTCCTCGGAAAAATATAAGATGCATTCAGCATTAAATGTCAATATGTTTGCATCGCGTTTTGCTATAAGACATTGTACGTGAATAACAGAGGAATTATCTGCTTGTGCTACAATTAAATACCTTACTAAGAAAGTGTAATTTCATATTATATATGGTAATTTCATATTATATATGGTAACATGCTAAAAATCTGAAAAGTTCATGCCCAAGTGGCATAAATTTCTTGTTAAACAATAGTAATGGCTCAGATGATTCTTGATTTATGTTATTCGTTTATTTTCCTATCTCTAATCACAGAAATTATGCATAGAGTTTTGCACTACCAACATCAACCACGACTTTGCATTGAATATTCTGCAATTCGAACTATGCACAAGATTTCGTTTTGGAACATATTTATAAAATTGCGTTATTTGGGCATTTCAGAAGTTACCACTCGAATTGGATTGGATTATTTAATTATGGCAAAGCACACGAGGGCTATCTGCCTGAAGGGAGGGATGCCTTCGTGGAGGACTTTCTAAGAGAAACTGGTTCGTATACACGTTACACATGGGGAAAACCACAAAAACGCCCATGCAACCAGCCCGTTCGCGGGATTCGAACCTCGGACCGAACTACCAGTGTTCAGCGTCTTTACCGCTCGGCCGCTGGTGGGCCGTTACCATTTTAAATGATACCCATGTGCCCAGAAAAATAAAAGGATTTTTCTTCTCGCATAGTTTAACATGAGTTAACTTTTGCTATATAAGTTTGCAATAATATGCTACAGTAATTAACAAAGTCCGAAATTTTTCTTAATCCGAAATCGGATAAATCTCAAAGTCCGGATTCTTTTTTACACCGCGGAGGTCGTAGAAAGAGATTTCAGAAATACATAATGTACATTTGCAGTTCTTAAATGATTTCTATTTAGAAAACGCTTCGTCCAAGAAGTAATACTCTCAGAAAGGGAGAGCAACGTTATCACTAGCATTACAATATTTGAAACTTTGTTCTAGAGATTGCATTGTAGAATAAACTGAAAAAATTCAAAACAGCGCCCTTCCACATTCCTGTTTCGTTTTTTCTAGTAAGTAAAACTCAGAAATACTTCTTTCTTAACAAGGAATTCTTTCTTATTAATGTCACCGTGATCATATTCTTTCTCAATTTAATTTCATGTGGCATATTTTTCATCTTCCTCGACGAACCACCTCAATAGCACCTATAAAATAAAGTTTCAAGTAAAAAATGGCACCCCTAAAAATGTGCCGCCTGGGGTGGTTAGCACCTCTTAACCCCCCTCTAGCTGGTCACTGCTTAATGCATACTTTAGTAATTTTATATTCATTTTTTTTTTGAAGTAAAAGCGACAGCTTGAGTAAATAGCCGACTCGGGTTACGGTTATTTACATTATAGCAAAGTACACAAGGGTTATCTGC